TGTCTTCCAATTCCTTTCGATACAGTGACTCAGTATATTCCTTCCATCTTCTTTTAATACTTCCTGGATCACTTAACATTCTGCCGAAAGCATCCTTGATTATAGCACCTCGAGGTTTGAATTTTTTCTTCAGTTCCTTGAGCTTAAGATATGCTGAGCGAGTTCAGCCCTTTTGATTTTCTGACTCCAACTCCTTGCACATTTCATTGTAATATTTTGCTTTGTCATCATTGAGGATAGACTACTGCAATTCTGGGGCATTTATATCACTGATTTTTCCTGAATCCTGGGATAATGAAACAAAGCTCAACAGTGGTCCTTAAAGAAATTCCCCTCATGCCTTATGTTCAGGAAAAGTTAACGGAAAATAACTAATCTTCAAAATGTATATTAAGATTCATGATGGCTCCTGTTTCCTATAATAAAGCCCAATTCAGATCCTTCAAATTACCATTCCTTGATCTATAAATGAATGAAATGGCTTCTTCCTATTGCTTAATCAGAAACAAATTGTTAACCAAATTTTAGTTAAATTTTCCCTTTCCTTCAGTTTCTGCACTTTGCCCCACCCTCTGTGATTTATATGTAGACGCTTATTCGCATCAAGTCAGAACTGACTCATAGCTGAACCTCTAGTGGGTTTCCACTAAGTTTCCATATTATATGGGAGGAGGTCACTCATCTTTCTCCCATGGAACTGCTGGTGGATTTGAACTGCTGGAGGGATGTGACCTTTAGGTTAATAGTGTAATTCCTTATGGACTATGTGACCAGAGTTACATCCTCCTTTACAGTTCTCTATATCTAGGTTTGTTAACGATTTATAGAATTTCTTCCTTTTTAAACAAAATCATTTTATTAAATTGCTTGTAGATTTAACTACTTAAGACATATTTCAGACAAATCTGTGGTGCATAACAAACAAGGTATGCCTTTCACTGTTTTACCTGACTGGAAAAAGCACACTGTTCTTTAGTAAAAAGAGTCATTGAGTCCATGTATCAAATCAGTGGTTTGATTTATAAAGCTATAGCCTTCTGAATTATTATTATTATTGTCTGGACTGAATGATAGTATTCCTGGGTAAGAGGTAAAATTATGGGAGCTTTGGGTATGTTCTTCCTTCACTGAGGCACTTAGTTAAATGAAATCATTTAACAAGGGTGCCTATATAGTAGAAGAATAACTGGCTACATATATCAATACTGCATCTAGTGCAAAAAGTGAAAGCAGGTTATATAGGAAGCGCTGCTGAACAAAATGTGAAGGTTTATTAAAATGATGACTTAATCTTTTCACGACCTTAAGAAACACTTCACGTAAGCAGTAGTTTTAACTTTCCTATAATACTCATCTAAAATGCCATCATCCTCAAGTTATTTCCAACTCAGACTGACCCTAAGCACCAAGAAGAACCATCCTTTGTGGATTTTCCAGGTGTGTAACCTTATAGGAGCAGACTGTCACATATTTTTCCTGAGGAGCAGACTGAGGGTTGGGAAAGTTGGGGGAAGGATATAAAAATTCCACCAATAAAAATTTCCTAACAATGTGTTTAAAAAGAACTTTAATAATATCTATTAGTAGTATTTCTTTACCACCTACAGATGAGAAAAGTCATAGCTACTAAAGTGAGGGCTGAAGTCAAGTAGACAAAAGAGGAAATTAATTTTTACTAAAAAAAAAGCTAGATAGAGCTCTGATTGACAGTTCTTGGGAAAAGGTTAAAAATTCAAGAGGAATAACTGCATGTGGCTCGGAACTTAAAAGCTCTTTCTCCTCACAACAGAAGAACTGTCTCAAGTAATAACAGGGTTGCCATGGAGATAAGAAACTAGAGGGATGATAGAACTCAATTTGCAGTTAAATGGGCTGGAAACAATTCTTACTACTTGGTGAAGAAAAGCAATTAAAAATATACATGATTGCCAAAGGGGATCATTTTCTTACCTAACATTTCCCAATCTCATTAATGCACATGGAAGTCTAAAAAACCAAACGAAAACCCTAGATTGCCCACAGATAGCAGCAAGTATAATTTAGGATTTCAAACATTATCACCAATCATTCTATTCCGTTTTCTTTTGTTTCTTTTAAATGATATTTGTTAGTAAATATAAAACAAGAGTAACATTGTGCTAAGGAGCAAAGAAGTATAACCTAGTGGACTGGGCATTCAATGGAAAAAGAGAACAAATGGAAAACAAACAAGGATAGGAAAACATATTCACAAGGGAAAATTCAGGTTTGCAAATTCTCTTCACAAACATGGAATACCTTTGTGAGTGCTGTAAAGAGCAGCGAACGTCACCATGAAGAAAGTTGTAGAGTATTTCCCCGCATTAACTAAATGAGGAAAGGCCCTTTTTGTATCTCGGTATCGGCGCAGGCACTGGATGAAGCGAAGCCAAGCAGGAATGCACTGAACAATGGCACGCACACCATACGAATATGTATGACAGATTTCTGGTTCTGTAAAGATTTCAAAGAAGAGGGGGAAAAAAATTTAAAATGTAATGGGTTTATATCACATAATCATATAGTATAAAAATAGCAAGCCTATGAAGGCCAGGAGACTAAGTTTCTGGATCACTTACTTTGTAACTTATTCTTGAACTTTTTAGTGGCAGATAAAAGGGGAAAGAGAAAATATGAAGAGGAAGCTACTGGAAAAAAGCTTCCCTCTCAGGTTTCTGACAATTGAAACATCTGGAAATCACTTTCTCTAGGGTGCATAATAAAACTAGAAAAAAGGAGATCTGTATTTACTAATCCAAAGGGGGAATTGTACAGATACAGAGGTTGACTCTTAATTGGTAACACCTGAAAAACCTACAAATAACACAAACTTCCTAACTGCAAATCACTGTAATGGAATATGTTCAAACAGGTTGTTCATATTCTTGTGTTTATTTGGGTTTTTTGTTTTGTTTTGTTTTGAGAAGAAATGAAATTATGTTTTTAAACCAGTAGAACAGAGCTGGTAAATTAATCTGTTTTTGAATTCTAAGAACATATCTTGGTATGATTATTCAACTGACAACAGAGTTACAATTTACTGGTAATCAGTGAAAATGTTTCAGTACTTGCTTGATTAATTTTTGTCAGTCAGAAGTTAAATACTCTGTCTAAATTAGGCTTTTTATCACTAAAGCAAAATAAAATTATCTTGTAACCTGAATTACTAGTATAAACTAAAAGAGGGGGGGCAGTCAGAAGATAAAGTACTATAAAAAAATATTAAAAGTCAGTTTATAAAGACTTTCTTAAAGTACTTGTCCCAACTCAAAGGAAGTTTTTTGATCCCTGTGATGGCAAATTATTGGCACTAAAGCATCTGTGATATAATTACCAATGTACTAGATTTTTTTTTTTAGTATTCTTAAAGTGCAAGTTGTAAATCTCTTGGCAAAAGGATGGCAAAATCATAACACAATTTATGAGCCAAATTATATCACATAAAGAGATAGCTAAGAGTGCCAAATAAATTTAATTAAGTTTGCAATATTATTGGATGAGTTTTCTTCATAACCTTAAATTTCCCAGTAGCTGTTTTCAGCACTTCTTGGTTTACACTGGCAATTTAGTAGTATGAACATTCTTATCCTACCTTTTGAATCATCTGGCAACAGGCCTTCATTTTCATCCCATTTGAGTTCAAAACTGTAGAAACAAATCATATATTCCAGGTCCATCAGTATCACTGACAGGCTGTTCAGCTGATCAGCCAGCCAGAAATCAGCAAAGCCTACTTTATGGAAGGGGGCTGTAAATACTCGAAACTAGTGGAAAGAAAACAAAAAACAAACAGAAACAAGAAAGAATATTATTTTTTAAAAAATAATTTTGACATTGCAATATGATTGTTTGGCTGATAAACAGAAGATTAACGAACCAGTCACAGACAAATCTAGTCACAGTGATTTGGCTAAGGATTAGGAGTAATGGGAATTAACAAAGGCAGAAAATGCTAGCAAAGAGAAGTGGGCAGAGTTTCTGAAAACCAAAGAGGTAAGCAGAGTATTATCTACTGAGGCAATAAGAGGTCTAAGACTGTCAAAAGAATAAACATAATAGTTCTTGGAGAAAATGCAACCAGCGTGCTCCTTAGATGCAAGGGTGACCAAACTTTGTTTTACATACTTTGAGCATGTTGTTAGTTGGAAAAAGTGGTCATCCTTGAAAATTGGAAAGATGACTGAACGAGTAAGATCCTTTACAAGATGGACTGATACAGTGACTATATTAATGGGCTCAAGGATATCAGAGATGATGAGGATGACAACAGCACAGAGCAAGGTTCAGATCCATTGTTTATAGGGTTGCTATGAGTTATAGCTAACTTGATGGCAGTTAACAACAACAAGGGTTTGTTAAATCTCAGCTTGATTTTTCTGGAGACGCAGCAATTTTCTAGTACTTTCTCTCATCTTAGATAGTTGAATACAAATGTCTTTCTTGCCCACAAGGATGGGTAGGGAAGGCTGGCACACAGTATGAGCATTCCTTAATCCTCTCACAAAAGTAGTTTCATTGATGCCATTGTGATGATTGTGTTCATTCTAAAACTGGGTCACAAAATTAGTCTTCTTACTACCATTACGTATAACAACTTAAATTTATTGATCCCTAGTGCAAACAGTATTTTCCTAAGTGCTTTTATATGTATTAATCAAATCATAACAATTCTACAGGGCATATTATTTATACCCTCACTTTATAGATGATCTACAACAAATTCATTCTAACTCATCTGTGAACCAGTTTATTCAGTGCACATGGAATGTGAGCATTGCAGAGACCAAGAAGGATTAGATCCTAATGCAAGTCACCACAATTTGGCTTAAATTGTGCAGCTATGCCTTGAAAATCATATGTGAAGAAAGCAGAGGATTGTTTCATCCTTACTTTGTCAAAACCTATCTTAGTATTTTTTAATTTGCACATTTATTTTATTTCCATTAGAGAAAAACCATCTATATAAAATTTGGTCCATTTCTCCTTCTTTGCCATTCAACTTGAATATTTTAATTTCACTCAAGTAAAAGTAGAATTATGTACCAGATGTGAGAACTAAACATATTTCCACGTCATTAAATGAGTAGAATTTAACTGTATTAGATGTTCTCTCTTATGTCTTAGTGGTGTAACTCACTTTTCCTAAATGCTGTTTCTCTTCACTTTTATTTATTCAGTTAACTATGTAATAAATGATGCTTCTTCCACTCTGATGTGAGTGCAAAATGTAGTCCTTAACAGTAATTAACTGGACTTATGATGGAATCTTCAGTTTCCCCATTACAGGAAATTTCTATAATAATCTTAAGCTATTTTAGTCAAACACTGAATATCAATTGCAGAAACCAAGAAATTAATTTTAAAATATTGTGAAAATTCCAAATGAAACAACACTGAGCCCATTTGGAGTCACAATGGTGAGAATGGTCCTCTGACAGTTTTTGCCTCAATAGCAACAAAGCCTCCTTTGAGCAAATTAGCAAATGGAAAAACAGCTCTAGCAGGAAGATGACTCTTGAACTATTGTTTGTAAATTTCATTGACAGGGGTGAAGTCATTCAGTCGGTCAGCAGCAAAGTTAGATTCTATGAATACATACTGAAGTCACAGCCTGTAGTTTTCAGAATTTAAGCTATGTTTGTAATAGCGTGTTTAGTTTCTTCTACTAACTTTCCTGGCACAAGCTGTCCAGTTGAAAGGTTCAAACCTATCTGTCCTGAATTGTATATAGATCTGTCCTGAGGTGTATCTGGTCCTGTCGACTAGTATAGCTTTACTGTAGGAACCAATGGTCCCTGAGACTTTTATGGTGCTGATCACCTTTTTGATCAAAGATATCATATCATGTCTAACCCTCTTGACCAACGATCTTTGAAAAGAGAAAACCTCTATTGTCTCATGTCACAGCAAACTCCCTATCTTAGTACTGAGTAATGTTAAAATGGAAATTAACAAATCAAAATTTATTCTCTCATATTAGGAAGCTAGGAGTATAAACTGAGGACATGAGTTCAAGGGAAAAGCTTTCTCTGCCAGCTCTTAGGAAAGGTCCTGATCTTCCTTCTAAATATGTTGGACCAGCATCCTTTGGAGATGTTCATGTGTCTTGGATTTTTATATCCCGGGGTACAGAAGGTTCACAGTACAGAGGTCTTGAGTCCAAGGATGTCCACCGTTTTCTGGTTCTCCTTTCTTGGTGGCACTGATGTCCCTCTACTCTCTAATTTCTTTTATATCTAAAAAGAGATTGGCTCATGATACAACCTAATTACACAAATTGTATCCTGCTTCATTACTAACTACCTCTAATTCAGGTTCAGTGATATCATTCAGGTCAGAGTTTATAAAGCCTATGATAATTACATCAGATTACAAACTAGAGGTTAATTACATAATACTAAGAATCTTATACAATAGAAAATAGGCTCCTGAAACAAGACCTTCTGATATCTGGTGATATATTCACATCCAGTAAAGCTAATAATAAGTTATCCCAAAGAATAAACATTCATAGAGTGAAGCTATATATTTGCAATTATAAGCTCAGACAAACCAAACTCTCTTTTTTACTGAGATTTTACTCATCTATATATGCAGGTGTTCTGGTGCTAGTTTATGTAGTATTTTAAGAAATCCTAGGATGCATAACAGGGAGCTGAGGTGGCTTGTTGTTGTTGTTGTTGTTATGTGCCATCGAGTCACTTGTGACACATAGCGACCCTATGTACAACAGCCCTAAACCCTGCTCTATCCTGTGCCAATCACACTACCTCTGACACACCCATCCCGAGTACCCCGGTCACTGAATTAATCCACCTCATAGAGGGTCTTCCTCTCCAGTGCTGTCCCTCTACCCTCCCAAGCATGATGTCCTTCTCCAAGGACTGGTCCCTCCTTACAACATGTCCAAAGTATGTCAGACGAAGCCTCAGAATCCTTGCCTCCAAGGAACAGCCCAGTTTAACCCTCTCCAGGATGAATGTGTTTGTTTTCTTGGCAGTCCATGGTACATTCAATACTCTTCTCCAGCACCACAGCTCAAAGGCATCAATTCTCCTTCTATCCTCCTAGTCACTGTCCAACTCTCTGACGCATAACAAGTGATTGCAAAGACCATGGCCTGTATCAGATGCACCTTAGTCTCCAGAGTGACACCACTGCTCTTCAGTACTTTGGAGAGGTCCCTAACAGCAGACTTTCCCATCTCGCAAAAAGGCAAAATTGTGTGGTCTTAAACCAAAATATTCCTTGAAGTCTCCTTAAAACAAACAATAGCTTAAACCCATCTAGTAAGCGCTCTGAAGAATTGTGTAAGATCAAAGTAACATCAGCAACTCAAACAATTAGAAGGGAACAGAAGGCAGTAAATTTATGTTGGTGGGGGAATAATAATTTGGAAAAGAAGGAAGAGAATGGTTTTATTACTTTTGATAGGAAATGTTTAAATTGTGATACAGTGAATTCTTTAATATGGCCTATTTGGCCATAAATGGTCTTATAATTCCCATACTGTAATGAATGGGACAGTGCAAAAAAGGTGCTTCCGCATTACCAATGGGACTGAACAGCCTGCTAATAATGAAAATAAGATTCCTCAATCCGTGTAGGGATGGAACCAACAAATATGTCATATTGAAACTTAATGTCTATGAGCTGAGAATCTCCTAAATCCAAAAGACAAAGAGATTTAACACTGGAAATGGTGTTAGATGGGAAGATGTGGGAAAAGCAGAATCATCTGAGGAATTAGGGAAGAGGAATGGAATCAGAGGCTTCGCAACCCACAAGAGCACAGGTGTGGTGTAGTGGGTCTACTGTTTAAAACAGTCTTTCCCAGACCACTGCTCTTCACTTTGTCACATGAATGGGCAGTAAGTAACAAGAATACATAAATAGTGTTTGTTAGTCTATCCACAAATTAGATTGGCTAGTTTCACCAATTTCATGAGGTTTAAACTGAGCAATTTCAATGGTAGAAATTTGGGAATCTCACTACCAACAGGGAAAGGAAGCAGAGAGGGCAGTGTATGTGCTTTGGGGCCAGAGATTCCTGTGTCAGCCAGACCAAGATCTGCACGAGAGCAAAAGCAGCCTCAGAAAAGAACCAGAGACCAACCTGAGATAAAGTGAATTTGGGATGGTGGACACATAGAGCCAGAGACAAAAGGCTTTCACCCAAGCTTTGGCATGAGTGAGGGAAGATGCCATAATTGGTAGGACTAAGGGAAATGGAATTAAATCCACAAGAACCAAAATCTGACCTTGAGTCTATTCCACTTGAATTAAAAACTCATCTCAGGAACAAGTTTGAGGCCTTGAACACTAATGAGTGAAGGCCAGATGAGCTGTGGGAGGTGATCAAGAACACTATCAAAGAAGAATACAAAAGGTCATTACAAAGACAAAGAAGGAAGAAAAGACCAAAATGGATGTTGGAAGTGACTCTGAATATGGCACCAGAACACAGAGAAGCCAAAGCAAAGGGAAGAAATCAGGAAGTTAAGGAGCTGAACAGAAGATGTCAAAGGGCAACTAAGAAAACAAAGAAAAGTATTATAATGAAATGTACAATGAGTTGAAGTTGGAAAATAAAAAGGGACAAAGTCCCTTAAGCTGAAGGAACTAAAGAACAAATTCCAGTCTCAAGGTGCACTACTTAAGGATGCTACAGGCATAATACTAAATGATCCTGGAAGTATCAAAAAAGGATGAAAGGAGTACACAGAACCAAAAAGAACTGGCTGGCACAGAAGAATTTAATGAA